AACTGGATACCCAGCACCACATAAGACTACTTCCCCTCCACTGCACTGAGACTCCATTCACTCACACAAGCATAGTTAATAGTCACGACATTGTTTATGGTTTTAATGGTTTTGCAACATTAGATGCACAACGTATTTCCAAGCAAGCACCAAGTATGCTTAAAATTGAACATTTTTATAAAGATAATAAAAGTTAATGACTACCCATGATCTATGATCTGACAATACATCTGTTCTTTTTCATTTTGAGATGGTAAAATGCCCACCCTAGCTTATTGTTGCACAGTGGGAAAGAAGAAATATAGTCCTATTAATCACTCTTAACTATCAGCTTATTAAGTTATAGTTTCCCAAAAGGCTTATCGTACATGACTGTTAATAGGCTGCAGGTGTTTTTCTACAAGAGTCTTTTTTATAATGCAGTTATGTCATAAAGAGACAGCGTGGAGTAAAAGAAACCCTCATGGACTAAGAATCAGAAAATCAAGGTTCTAAATTCTAGTTTGGTTAAGGAGCCCTGAAACCTTAAGCAAGATATCACCTCAGTGGTCTCCAGTTTTCTGATCTGTAAAATTAAAGGGCTAATTATAAATTAATTTGTGCGAAATTGCACCTAATGGATAGGCAAGTGACCGTAACTTAGGACCTATGAATTTCAAAAAGGACATTTAACAAAAATCTGTCCACGTTAAAATAGCTTAAACCAAACTGTACAATTGGGACTTCTATTAGCATTGTTAACCTTAAAAGTAAATTTTGTTGACTAACAATTGTGGAAGTGCAAAAGAACAGAGAAGCATGTTTCACATGAGGAAAAAAAAAAAATCATGACTACTGATTTACACTGATACACCAAAATTATGGTGAAAATAACCAAAATTTTAATATTAGCTAAATACCTACTCATTCAAAGACAGCTGTTATATTGTCCAATTGACAAAAAAAGGTTACATTCCAAAAGCTTATAAATCCATTTTTGGGAAACTATAAATGGAGGCTAGGGGTTCCTTGTTTAACCCAGAAGAGCATAAGCGACCCTGACGTAGCTAAACTATGAACATAGTAACAAATGCTTGAGCTCTGGGTTCTGAGAATGGGGCTGTGACATGTAAAAGGTGAGTTTTCTCCCCTGTTCTTTGGGGGAAAGACTGAAAGTAATTATCAAAACTAATTTACCCTTGTGACACCTTCTCCCTCACTTTCTAACCCTTTTACACTCTGACAGGGCTGCTGGAACAAGCCTACCTGGTCCGACCTACCAAAAAGGACTCTGTATTCCAACAGCCCTTCCTTGAGCATTCTTCCAATAGTAATTCCACAACCACGAAGCAACTGATGAACATTTCGACAAACAATCCAGAAAATGTTACCACTCCTAGACTATAGCTAGTGTTAAAAAAGACTGCCTGTTATTAATAAAAGCAAAAATATTAAAAATCTAAGTGTTAAAAATTTTAGACATGGTCAAGTAAGTTATGATGCATACATAGAATAGACTATGCCACTGCTAAAAAAATATTTACAAATAAGCTGTAATGACATGGGAAATGTTTAAAAGACAATGCTGAATAAGTAAGGAAGATACTAAATGCCGTGTTCTTTATGAACTCAGCTATGAAAAAAATGCATTGAGAAAGACTAGAAGGAAAGACTATGATTGGGGAGAATTCTAACATTGCTTTTTTCTAGTTAGTACACAAATCCATGCTTACCAGATTTTCCCATATTAAATAAGTACTTTTGTTATTTAGGGGGGGAAAAAAAGGAAAATTGGGGGGAAAGTGCAAATTCAAATAAATCTCTAATTAGTAGAATTGTAGGAGCCATAAACAGTGCTAATTATCAGGCAATGTAGAAATAGAGCTTCGTGGGCAAGAGAGCATTCCTTTTTTCACTTTGTTTGCAATAGAGTTTAACTAGACAACTGATTTTAAATTAACCATATTATAAAATAAGTTCTGTGATTATGAAAATATTGCTATTACCACTCTACTGCATTTTATAAAGTCAATACCTATTACTGATACTAATACCTATACTTGTTTCCCTTGATTGAAGATACTGGCCATTTCTGTATATTTATATATGTCATATACCAAATAACACAGGCTTGTGATTTAGACAAACGGGAAAAAAGGTTATACAGTGGGGAAAAAAAATCTTTATCTCATTTTATAATGCTTTCCTAGACATAGATAGCAATAGTCTCTGGCCCCAAACTTCTTCTTGAATATAACCCTGTGTATTTCGTATTTACACACTAATCGCTCTTCTATACACCTTATTTCACCTAACACACCTTAGAAACATTTACACATCAGTATGTATAGATCTATGTATTCTTTATAAATACTAATAAATATTCTATTGCATTGTAACACAATTTATTGGCAACCTCTTCCTGATAGACATTTAAATTATTTCCAGTTTTTCTCCATGACAAACAAGGCTTCAGTGACATTCTTCTTGTACAAATATCTTTATGTATGTGAACAAGTATGTTGTAAAATAAATTCTCAGACGTCTAATTGTTGAGTCAAAGAGTGTGTGTCCATTTTTAAAATATGATATTGTCAATCTGCCTTCCTAAGTATATGTACCAATTAACACTCCAGGGGAACATTTCTGATCAACATAGATTTTTAAAAGCAAACTCCGATACCGTCAATGGCCAGAAAGGTAAAACAAATTAGTGAAGCAGTTAGGGTAAGAAAATGACAAACTGGAGAGCATATTCAGTCACTGAAAGCAGCAGCTTCTACTCAAGCCCAGCGCATTAATAATGCCTTCTAGGAGTCTATGCTCAATGTTGTTGGATTGTCTGATTTCTAAAAAGCCAAAAGTCTGGACTTCTGCATGAAATCTCCAGATTTTTTGAAGTGTTGACAACTCATTAAAATTTTAGAACTGGCATGACTAACAAAACACATGTGTGAGTGGGAACGCTGGTACACAACCTTGGAAGCTTCCCCGGTAAAATCTGCAACTAGCTCACGTACACAAAGGGCAAGAAGAGACAGAAGAGCAGACCACTCCAGATTGGCAGGTGGCAGTTTTGAGACTTGTCTTGGGCAGCTGCAAGACGAGTAGATCTTTTTTTTTTTAATTTTATGTAATGATTTTGAGAGAGAGAGAAACATCATTTCGTTCCACTTATGCGTCATTGGTTCCTTCTTGTATGTGCCCTGACCAGAGATCAAACCCACAACCCTGGCATATCGGGCCAATGCTCAAACCAACTGAGCTACCTGCCCAGGGCAAGACAAGTAGATGTTTGCACTCACCTGCCAAATTCTAAAAGTTTATACAGATGCCTTAACTGCGCCCAGGCACACATACCTTACAGATGGCCTTAACACGCTGCCGTCTCAAGGCTGTGTCCAAGAAAAGGGTTCCCCACTGTGCGAACGGTGGGTAGAACATACATTCCAAGGATGGGGGGGTGAGGAGCCTCTGATTGCCCAGGTTCAATTCTAAGGTCAACTGGCAGTTGAGACCTCTCGATTACCTCCTCCAGCCGGGAATCATCTGCTGGACCTCCAACTTGTGACCCACACTTTAAAACTTTCATCACCCCCTTCCCCGCCACATGGCAATAGGCTGTATTCAACACACTGTTTTAAAACTGGGAGTTCCTTAGATTACATTTTGTTGTTTGATGAACTAGAAGATGGATTTTATTAAGTGTGTGGTCACTATCCACTCAATCTGTTTGAATGACTTAATCAACTCTCGCCCAGAGGTTTTCATTAATCAGCTTCCTACAATATGCTCCCTTGACTTATATTTTTATTACTTTAGAATGCTGTGTTTCTGTTTTCCTCCTTATATGGAATTACCATGTTTTAATACTTAAGTCATTTTCCTACTAGTGTAATCTTCTGTTACCCGAAGGGAAAGAAAATCTCTCATTGTTCTATGCTATCTTCCATTCAACATATCCATCTACTTGCAGAAGAAATTGTGGAATAAATTAAAAAGACTTGCTGCCTCTAGTTTAAAGAGTATTTTTGCCCGGCTGGGCGTGGCTCAGCGCTTGAGCATCAGCCTAGGATCCAGGCAATCGCAGTTCAATTACAGGTCAGGGCACATGCCCAGGTTGCGGGCTCAATCCCCAGTTGGGGGCGTGCAGGAGGCAGCTGATCAATGACTCTCTCATCATTGATGCTTCTGTCTCTCTCTCCCCTTCTTTCCTCTCTCTGAAATCTATATATTTTTTAAAAAGTATTTTTAATCCATGTAAAACCTTTTCATATTAACTACATTCTCATAGTTTAAAAAATAAAGACAATGTAAAAGAATAAACCCTGAATTGCCAGATTTATATATAAAAGTCATATTCATGGATAAAATATCATGAGATTTTTAATGTTTTATTATCTCTTGTACATAAATACTTGCAAAATGACCAATCCGACAAAACCAATGGATTGCATAATTATAAACAGAAATTTGGAGACAGACTCATGGATAGAGAGCAGGCTGACAGCTGTCAGGAGGGGTGTGGCTGAGTGGAGGAAAGTGGAGGGATTGAGAAAAAAGAAAAAAACACATGGACAAGGATGACAGTGTGGTGATAGCTGGGGGGGGTGGAGGCAGCTATGGGGGGTAAAGGGACTTGACGGGGTGGTGAACACACATACAGTATACAATGAATTATGCACATGAAACTTGTATAATTTTGGTTAACCAGTGTCACCCCAATAAATTGAATAAAAAAGAAAAAGTTTGTAGCATAAAACAAAAAAACAGAAATTGTTTGTAAACATGAAAATTATAAGCAGTGTAATATTAAAGTCAGTTACTTATTTGAAAAGACAGAAGTCAATGACCAAAACCAAAATTTAAAAATTATCAGCTTCATTTATTATAAATAAAGCATATGACTCTTAATTTTAGAGCTAATGGTAATTTTTAAAGAATTCCTAGTTTTTAATGTCATCTGTTGAGATGTTTTAGTATTAAAAAAAACAACACACAATAACAAAAGAGGCCCAAAAAACACGTCAGAGAAGCTTTATACTTAGCAAAGCTTTCAATGTATATGTCTATGTACATATACACACAATATATATTTGTCTGTATTGACACATACATTGTCTATATTTGTCAGTGGCAAATATACCAGCTGCTCATAGGAGAAAACATGCACAGATATGCATACCCATGGATATGCCTTTGGATAGTCTACTTTTAGTTTCCAGATGCAAGGTCCTAAACATTACAAACTCCTCCATTAGCATTTCTAAATATGTTCATGTTCCTACTTCCCTGGAAAACATATGCTGTGTCTCAAGTGTGTCTTTTCAAACTAAAAACTGATTAGATCACTCTAAAATTTAAAAACTAACGCTCTGTATTAGGCATATTTTACTAGAACTCAACATTTTAATCATAAAAAGCAAATTTAAGAAAAAATTACCTATTTAATTATAATCTGCCACATCCAATTACTTCTTTAAATGTGTCATCAGAACTCACTGATAAAATAAAAAATATGATAAAATATTTTATTTTAGTTTTACCTAAGATATAAAGTAAGGCATGAGAAAAACTTTGAGACCACAATAGATATGGAAAACTGACCACTGAAAAATGCAAATAAGTCATACAATATAGTGTGAGCTTTAATATATAAATTAGATACCATTTCATCAGCTGTTTGTTAGTCACATCGGTTGGAACTTTACATATATAGTAAAATATTAAAAAGCTAAAAAACATCATTGCAATATAGATTCAATATGGGAAAATACATATTTGTGGCTTTATACACAATCTCAATCCATTCTATACAATAGTTTTCCAAAATATAAATGGCACCTTACATGCAATAGAACATACCAGGTTGGATGTCCTAAATATTTTAATATACAAAAAAGTAAAGAGAAGACATCCTCTGACAAGACAGTTACAGAGCAGAGATGGAATGTAGAACAAGATCTTGCCTTAACACAATCTTGGATAAGACTAAAGAAATATCAATAAGGACAGTTTCTACTACTTTCAATTAGCATTCTATAAAATGAAGATTACTGTGATTTTATATTTTCTAAGTGTATCACAAACGGAAAAAACATAAAAGGGAAAAGGGGGCGGGGGAGAAAACCTGATCCTTGATGAAATTTAAACATAGGCCCTGCCTATGGGCTGCGTTTAGGTTGCTTTTCTGTTGACAGTTTCCTAAATTACTGCTACCACTCTGAACTGTGCATCAGATGAGCTTCCCAGACTTCACTAGGCCATAGTGTAACCATAGCTGCCGCAATGTAGCGCCACAAGAAGTCTGTCCTTGAGTATTTCTTTACTTGGGTATTCAGGTAACTTGAGCATGTTGATGCTTTAAAAGAAAAATATACCACCATTAAGGAAATCGATGAAATTTCTGACTGTTTTGTCTAGCAGTGAAAACTACGAAAATTAACATAAAACCACCCTCTCAAATTTGCATTCAAATTGGAAAACCCTGAAGTAGTATTTAAAAAGTAAAAACAGAAGAAACAACAACAACAAAAAACCCTGCTGCATTGCAGTTTTCTTTAGCCTGCAAATGTAGTAGAAGAAAGTAATTTCCTTTCAGGCAAAAATAAATAAGCAAGAGCAATTTAGTTTGAAATGACGGTGTAACTTAGTGATACTATGACAATTTAACTTTAGTGACAGTTGAACTATATTCAATTAAATTATAGGTAGTTTCCTCAAACATATTCCTTACCAAAAAAATGGGAAGCAAGGAACTATGTAGCTATTTATTTATCAACGATTCCAAAATGCTGACCGAGATCACTGTTGAGGTTTTCCTCTCCTTGTAGCAATAGTTAGCAACTTTTGATCATTCAAAATTAATCAAAACTTCAAAATGCATTTAAATTTTAAAAATTAACATACCATGTGCTTGAAGTCGGCAAAAGATTGGGAGTATATGGCACAGCAGCGATTGTAAAGTTTTGCAATCCACTTCCACCCATGATATTAGCAAATCCACCATGTGGGACCCTGGAACTAACAGTTCATATCTTAATAAATTGTAATCATGAAAGAAAAATCTTTGTTATAGATATATTTCAAATTCTAAGTTAGGGTAAGAATACAGTCAACTCTAGGTCACTCACAAAATAACACTTTTGAATATGCAACACTCCAACTTATTACTAAAAGTCACCCTGTGGCCATTAGCCAGCTTCCATGGAGACTCCCCTCCACATTTCTAAGTTATACTCTGCTTTCAATGGGCACATAGCTCTACTATTGCATTTAGCATGCTGCATGTACAATTATTTTCTTTCATGTGTATCCCTACTAAACTGGGACTGATTTGAGGGCCCAAGTATGTTATTTGTATTTATTTGTATCCCTAGGGTTTAGCAAAATGACTGGCATCTAATAGACATTCATTAAATATCTGCTGAATAAATAAATATTTGCTTGACTAATTAAAGCAACAGAGGTTCTTACATGTAATCCAAATAATTTCCGTTTGAAAAGTATCTAGGATTGAGAGGATTTTTTGTCTCACGGTGTAAAAATTAGAAAATTCTTTACATTTCTTTTTCCAGGGATCACAATATCAGATTTTTTTTTAATGTCACCTAACATAATAAAACCACAGGAAAGCTAACACAATACATAAACACCACCAGAAAATAATCTTGGGTAAATAGCTTTAGAGGATGTGATTACAACTTCTGAAATTCTACTGTTTACATTTGAAAGAAAATTAGTATTTCAAATTAGCCTTTGTATATCATGATTAAACAAACTGATCCTGGAATAAATTTTGTTGTCATTAAAATGAGATGCTGTAGTCCTTTTTGGATAAATTAGAATGATGATTTAACGAATAGGTACCAATGCATACTCAAAGGCAGTAGACTGTCTAATATTAAAAGTATTTTCTAACATAATTCATAGTACAAAGCATAATTCAGTTCATTTAAAAAAAGCTGTTAAAACCTGAATAACCAAAACCACCTTGAGAAAGAACAGGTCAGAGGGCTCACAGTTCCTGATTTCAAAACTTAAACTACAAAGCTACAATAATCAAAACAGTATGGCACTGGCATAAAGACAGACAATATGAAGCAATGGAATACAACAGAGAACCCTAAAATAAACCCTCACATATACGGCCAAATGATTTTCAGTGAGTGTGCTAAGAACATTCAGTGGGGAAAGGTCAGACTTTTCAACAAACTGTACTGGGAAAACTGGATATCCTCCACAGAAAAAATGAAGTTGGGCCCTTACAAAAATTTATAAAAATTAACTCGAAATGAATCCAAGACCTAAACTTCAAAGATAAAATTACAGAATTCTTATAAGAAAATATAAAAGGAAAGCTTCATGACACTGGATTTAGTAATAATTTCTTGGATATGACAACAGAAAGCATAGGCAACAAAAGACAAACAGGTAAGTTGGACTTCATCAAAAGTAAAATCTTATACGCCAAATGACACCAGGAACAGAGTGAAACAGCAACACAGAGTGGGTGAAAATATTCTCAAATCATAAGTCATAAGGAATTGATATCCAAAAAATATACAGAACTCCAACTCAACAGCAACGAAAAACAAAACAGGGAAAGGACTTGAATAGACATTTCTCCAAAGAAGGTACACAAATGGCCTATAAGCAGATGAAAAGATGCTCAGTCAATCACTTGTCATTAGGCAAATGCAAATCGAAACCACAATGAGATAACCACGTCATATACATTAGGATGACTATTAATAAAGCATAAAAGAAAAAACACCAACCCCCACCAAAAAAATAATAATAAAGAATAGAACAAGTACTGGAAAGGACATGCAGAAATTGAACCTTATGCATTGTTAGAGGGAATGTAAAACGGTACAGCTACTGTGGAAGAGAGTCTGGCAGTTTCTCAAAAAATTGAAACAGAATTACAGTATATATCCAAAAGAACTGAAAGCAGAGAATCAAAGAGATATTTGAACATCCATGTTCACAGCAGCATCACTCACGAGAGCCAAAAAGGTGGAAGCAACCCAAGTGACCATCCATGGGTGAAAAGATAAGCAAAATGTGGAATATATACACAATGAAATATTATTTAGCCTTCTGATATTTGCTACGATACAGATGTACCTTGAGGACATTATGGTAAGTGAAATAAACCAATAGCAAAAAGACAAACAATGTATGGTTCCACTTACATGAGGTACCTCTAGAAGAGCCAAATTCACAGAGATAGACAGGAGAATGGTGGTTGTCAGAGGCTGGGGGAGTGGGAATGGACAGTTAGTGTTTAATGGGTAGAGTTTCAACTGAGAAACAAATGTTTGGGAGATGGATGGTGGTGATGGTTGCACAATGTAAATGTACTTAATGTCACAGAACTGTACACTTAAAAATGGTAATATGTATTTTTTAGCACACACTATCAAAGCTGTTGAAAGTGTTACCAAATTTTCTATCTGAAATCATGGATATGTATATATTCACAGGGGGGGAAATTAGCAATCCACTCCATGTGAATCTCTAAAAACAGCAGTTTTCTTTCCCTAGCTGGGAAGCAGTTTGATTGCTATTAAATATTTTCTTGATGAAATGCCTGAGCTTACCTTAGAGGTCTAAGTGAATATTAAAAGTATGCCTGAATCTTACTAATAAAATGGGAATACATGAGCAATTCCTACTTAGGGCAAAAGAATATCTAAAGAAGACCTGAATATGTCTGTCAATGGAAATAAAATCCAACATTAGTTAATCTATGCATATTAAACTTTGCCTAAAAAATTAACAAATGCAACCAAAAATAAAAAGGGATAAAAAACCAAGCTGTTCCCAATTTCCTACAGAGGCAGAATTTATTATTTTTTTAATCCTCACTAGAGGATATTTTCTCCCTTGCTTCTCAGAGAGAGTGGAGGGCAGGAGGGCACGAGGGAAGGAGAGAGACAGAGACAGAGAGGGAAACATCAACATGAGAGAGACATGCTGACTGGCTGCCCTTGGCTGGGATCAAACCTGGGACCCTTCAGTCCTCAGGCCAAGGCTCTAACCACTGAGCCAAGTGAGCCAGGGCTAGAGGCAAAATGTACAAACAAGTATACCACCACTTTACCAGGGCAAGATGAGAAAATGAGCCTTGTTACACTAATTCTTTTTTTTTTTTAATATGTTTTTATTAATTTGAAAGAAAGGGAAAGGGAAAGAGAGAGATAGAAACATTGGTGTGCAAGGAACACTGATCTCGGCTGCTTCCTGTAGGCCCCCTACTGGGGATCGAGCCCTCAACCCAAGCATGTGCCCTAATCTGAAATCAAACCGGTGACCTCTTGGTGCATGGTTGACAACCTACTGAGCCACACCAGCAGAGCTCGACACTGATTCTTACACAAATTATAACTCAGTATTTCAGTATCAGCATCATCAGTCTAATGTCTTCATATAACTAAATTTTGAAAAGTTAGCTTTAAAAAGACCAAAGAATTCCCAACTTTAGTATCTGAATTGAAATTATTCTGTAAACTGATATTCACAAACAAACTATGAAAACTTACTCCTCTTCTAAACTACAAACAAATATGACTGGGCTCCACACCTGAATAACAGTGACCTTATGCTAAGATCATGGCTCATCACACTTTAAGCATGCATGAGAAAACTACATAGTCTAGGTGAATATTATGAAACCTGGGTTATACAAAGTAAAATTACAGTTAATAAAAATGATACAATTGCCCCTTGTTATCCATAGGGAATTGGTTACAGAAGCCCCTGGATGATACCAAAATCCATTAATGCTAAAGTCCCTTATTTAAATTGATGCAGTATTTGCTATAACCTACAGGTATCCTCCCACATACCTAACCCAATGTAAATGTTATATAAATAGTTGTTATACTGTATTGTTTAGGGAATAATGCCAAGAAAACAAGTCTGTACATCTTCAGTACAGACACAGCCAGTATCCATACAAGGCCTCATTACTGAGTACACATCAGCAACAACATAACTTTCCTCCAAGAATTTTCAATCTGAGGTGGTTGAAAGCGGACTGTACTCCTATTTCATACACAGAGAAATCAAGGCTGACTTTCATTACTATTAAGGGACAATAAAACAAAAGAGTAAGACATTTAAAGACAGTCTTACAGACCAAGAAAACACTATTACCACCATAAAAATACTTAAAAAATACTCTTTATACTGAAATTGTAATTGAACGCATTTAACTTTTTCAGTTAGATCGCACTAAATTATACTAGGGACATGGAGAAAGACATTTCGGTATCTAAATAAAAACCAATGCATAACCAGAATTTTGAAAAAAGTACTAAAGAAAAAAATGCATACTTTAGGTTTAGAATGGCAAATACTATACCTATACTAACAACTGGGGGTCTAATGTAAAAGGAAAGTTAAAATTTAAAAGAACTTAAGACTTACTGTTTGAATTCAAAACAAGGACTCTATCAAGACTAAGTGCTGAAAGATGGATCTTCAACATGAAGGTAAAGCTTAGTTCTGTGCTGCTTCCCTTCAGATTCCTTAGCTCCTACTCTTTACCCACATCCTTTGCCTCAGTTTAAAGGATTCACATGCCCAGTTCAATAATAAGCCGTGTAGCTCTTTTCAGCATTGCTAACAATGACTACACTATTGATGCAAGAGGGGAACCGTGTATTACTAATCCAAGTGATTTTTAATTCTATCAGAGCAGCAATTTTAAGGACATTTTTAGTATCAAAGAACTTGAGTAATTTTTTTCTGCGTTTTAATTTAAAGACACACTGACCAAATCACAGGGTGAGGGAGGGGGGAATATAATAATGCATCAAATGGTGTTTGGATATAAACCATTTAGAAAAATAATAAAAGAGCACTACCTCACACAATAAACCAAAATAAGTTCAGTCTGTTTAAAATTGGAATGTAAAAACAGACCCTGTAAAAAGTTACAGAAAAAAATGTAGATAAACATATATAAAATTTTGAACACAGGAAAGGATCTATAAAAACCATAAAGTACTGATAATCAACTTGCAACATAATTTAAAACTCCTATTTTATAAATTTTATAAATTAAATCTGTAATTTAAATTACATGAAAATCTCTATTTAACTTAATAAAGTTAAAAGGCAAGTGATAAACTAGAAAAAGTTCTTTATATATGTCTCTAATATATAAAGAACATTTTAAACTGAATTTCTGAAAATGCCAGAATAATGCACAGAAAATAAATACAGGCAATTCACACCATCCAAAAATATTACATAAATAAGAACTTACATGAAAATAAAAATGATTACATCTTGTATTGATAGAATAAAGGGAATAGGCCCTCTCGTTCCCTGCTGATGTGAAAACTGATATTGTTCTGAAGGATCAATGAGCAATTATGTCCAAAGGCTGTAAAAATGCATATACTTTTCTATTCAAAAAATTCTCGTGTAAGAATTTATCCTATATAAATAATCTAGGATATTGGCCCACCAAGTATGTAGCACAAAAATTCCTTATTTCTTCAGCGTTATTCATAAATGGGAAAATTTAGCAATAAAGGATAGTATGGATTAAAGGAGGTCCATAAATTATAGAGCAGGCAGCCATTTAAAAAATTAAACCCATAAATGGAATAATTTTTAATGATATATTGCAAAATTCAAGTGTTATAAAACAGGGACAATGTTTTTAAAAAGCAAAAATTTATATATGCAAGAAACAATCTGGAAGAATAACCACAATGCTTAGTGATTATCTTCAGTGACTGAGATTAAGAGATGGGTTTTTGTTAATCTTCACCGAAAGGTATTTCTTCCATTGCTTCTCAGAGAGAGTGGAAGGTGTGGGGAGAGGGAGAGAGAGAGAGAGAAAAACATTGATGTGAGAGAGACATATCAATTAGCTGCCTCCTGCACACATCCCAACCAGGCTGGGGATCAAGCCTGCACTTTAATTTAAAAATTCTGGCCCGGCCGGGCGTGGCTCAGCGGTTGAGCATCAACCTAGGATCCAGGCGATCAGGGTTCAATTCCCGGTCAGGGCACATGCTCGGGATTGTGGGCTCGATCAATGACTCTCTCATCATTGATGTTTCTATCTCTCTTTCTCCCTCTCCTTTCCTCTCTCTGAAATCAATAAAGATATATTAAAAATAATAATAATAAAAATAAAAATTCCATTGCTTGGGTACTGAAATGAGATGTGTGGCTTCATAAGATCTGTGGCTGTTTCTTGTGGCTCAGCCCCAAGTTCTTTACACTAGCTCCTGTGTTCCCTGCCTTCCTTGAACCGAAACCTGCTTTGTTTTTCTTTGATAGCTGCTTCTGTCCATTCCATTCCTTTCAGAAATATAACTTAAAAGACATTTTCTAATCTCTGATATTTCATTGATTGCAAAAGCAGACTTTTCAAAGAAGTGTGGTTTCACAAATTATTTTTTAGGACAGGAATTCTGAGAATTTCAAGTCTGATAAGAACTGCAGAAAAATTGCTGTGTATGGATATTATATGTGGGGTGTGTGTGTGTGTGTGTGTGTGGTCCAGCAACACCCAAATATTAAAAATCTGGCTACTACCACTGACCAATCGGCAGAAAAATTACCAAATTATAAAATACCCATACACACTGATAGTCCTGGCTGGAACACAGTTTAATTTTTTATACATTAAATAAACATTTATTGAACACTACTATATATGTTTCATTTTAAATGCCTAAATAAATGTTTGTTTAATATTTAAAAAAAAAGTGGAAAGGGAGATAAGATACTGACAATTGAGAGTAACAATTCACTTTGGTTGTTTATCTCTAAGCCATTAGAAATGGAATACATTAAATTATTTCCACATTATCATAAAACACTTCTTACCTGCCAGTAACAAACTGCAGCAGAAGAACTCTCTCCTCTGGAGTAATATCTTCCACAACTTCCCAGAACCACTAACAACAACAAAACAAATTCAGTTGATGTTTCAGAGCAATCACAGACTTAATACCAAAAAAAGGGGCAGCATTCATAAGGCATATTTTATTTTAAGAAACTCATTTATCAAAAATGATTTCATACAAAGCTTTCATATGCGATTCCCATGAGAAGAATTTAGGGGAAAACTTGACTTCATTAATTAATGTAGGTTTTCATCCAGTAGTGCTGAAAAGCTTACAAAATTAAATGGCAAAACTTAACTTCATTCTAAGCTCCAGAGAAATTTTACCTGAATAACTGGATCTTGTCTTTCATAGCCACTTGTGTATTCTGTATTTTTTATCCAATCACTCACATCAATTTCTGGCATGCCAGAAAGCAGTAGTTCCTTTGGGGAAGAAGAAAAATACTTCATTATTCTTCTTTGGAGGAAAAAACCAAACCTATTACATTTAAAGAGTAAATTTACCTTAATTAGAAACTGATTCCATGTAAAACTGATTTTTTTTCTGACAGTGTCTGCGTGTCATCAATAAAACAAGTACTACATGGGAGAGACCCTTGATACTGATAATCTCAAACACTGTGAGATGTGCAGATGTCTCTACATTGATACGATTTAATTAAAACATATGAAGAGACAATACTTTATGTTTATTTTTATTTTATGAACTCGTTAAATTCTGTAAAGAGACCATGCTCTCAATATGAAAATAATAAACACCTGAATAAATCCTGGGTTAAGCAAAGAAAAAAAACCATCAAGAAACCCTAATCATTAGGAAAAAGAAGGTAATAAAAAAAATAGTTATATTAAAAAAAAACACAGATTCAAGCCTTTGAAGAACTATTCTAGAATAATTCAGATCTTAAATATCAACTTTCCCCAAGGTGAGGGGAAAAAAATGTAATTTCCCTAATGACTTTTGGTAGCCTCCTTTTTCCCAGGAAGATCATCAAATAAACAAAATAGCAATCAAGTGCTTGCTTCTGCAGCACATATACTAAAATTGGAACGATACAGAGAAGATTAGCATGGCCTCTGCGCAAGGAGGGCACAAAAACTCATGAAGCATTCCATATTTTTCTACATCAAACTAAAAAGCTTCTGCACAGCAAAAGAAATCAGCCTCAAAATACAAAGGAACCCCACAGTAACGGAAAACATATTTGCTAAGGATACATGCGATAAGGGGCTAATTTCCAAAGTGTACAAAGAACTCATACAACTCAACAAGAGGAAGACAAACAACCCAATTAAGAAATGGGCAAAGGACCTAAATAAACACTTTTCCAAAGAGGACATACAGATGGCCAAGAGACATGAAAAATGTTCAACATTGCTAATCATCAACCACAATTAGGTATCACTTCACACCTGTCAGAATCAACAAATCAACAAATGGCACATGCTAGCGAGGGTGTGGAGAAAGGGGAACCCTGCTACACTGCTGGTGGGGATGCAGACTGGTGCAGCCACTATGGAAAACAGTACGGAGGTTCCTCAAAAAATTAAAAATGGAGCTGCCTTTTGACCCAGTGATCCCACGCCTACGAATATATCCTAAGAATCCTGAAACACCAATTGCAAAGAACTTATGCTCCCTATGTTCACAGCAGCACAATTTACAATAGCTAAGATCTGGAAACAGCCCAAGTGCCCATCAGTAGATGAGTGGATAAAAAAGCTATGACACCAAGGAATACTATGCAGCTTAAAGAAGAAGGATCTCGTACCCTTTGGGACAGTATGGATGGACCTGAAGAATATTATGCTAAGCGAAATAAGCCAGGCAGAGAAAGACAAACATCACATGATCTTACTTATATGTGGAATCGAAAGAACATAATAAACTGATGAACAAAACAGATGGAGTNGAACAAAATAGATGGAGTGACACAGAAGCATGGAACAGACTGTCGAATCTCAGAGGCAAGGTGGGGATGGGTGGAGAGAGATTAACCAAAGAATTTATATGCATATATGCATAACCCATGGACACAGACAACAGTGTGGTGAAGGCCTGGGGCAGGGGATGGGTGCAGGGTAGAAGGGGTCAATGGGGGAAAAAGGGGACATCTGTAATACTTTCAACAGTAAAGATAAATTTTAAAAAACAGCAATCAAATAACTAAAAAATGAAATTAAGAATGGCAAAGTATTTACCATTATATTTTCCAAGAGAAAATAAAACATGAAAAAGAGCTTGTTCGCATCTCTGAATCAGTCCATTTCTCACAGTTGGGCCTGTTTACACAGTCAGATGAGGCAGTAACTAGCCTATACTTAACTAAAACACTGACAAGCCAGAATAGCAGGACTGGTTACTACAGAGCCATCAATTTAATGTGGTTCAAAACCACATTTCCTACAGCAACTACTGGTAATATATAGCAGAACAGTACAGAGTGTACTTTGAAGGTTGATGAAGGTTAATATAAGGTGATATCTGAGAACACTTAGGTGCTTCTGAGATCTAGTCAAGGAGGCTGCAAGATTCTCTCCTTTCCAACTTATCTTAGGCTGGATTTTCTTCATATTTTTTCAACCAAACAACATATCACAAGAGATAATGTGCAGAAGCAGATATGAATGCCCAGATATTAAGCCAGATATTAAAGAAACTTGCAAAAATGTGAAATAATACCAGTCTTCCCATTATTTTTGTTTCATTCTGGAAAATGCAGTTTTCATATTTAAAATGTTATTTATATTAATAGGTAATGAATTATCTTTATATGAATTAATAAAATATTTTACACTTGTTTTAATTTCAAATAAAATAAACATAAATTAATATAACTCACATTAAACAAAAAGGCTTTTGTTGTAAGGGGGTCCTAAGACCAAAAAGTTTGAGAACTGCTAGGGTTTCTGTTCTCCTTGCAATGGTACTATAAAATACTTTTACTAGATAAAGGCATTCTGGTTAGCGTCCATTCACCGCCCACAAATGCATTCTCCATCCTAGGAGGCTGAGCCTGGCAAACTAGCTCTCTTGTCTGTCAGCTTCAGGTTGGGTTCCGTCACTGAGAACAAGTCTGGAGGTGAGAGTCTTTTCCGCTCCCTCCCTGCTTATAGCACATCTTTCCAATAACCACGTCTCCTCATCACAGGGCCCCTTACAGTAATTCCTCCACCTGTCTCTTCAATTCCAGAGGTGATAAAGACTTTCCACTGTTGCTAGTCTCTGGATGTCTCACCAAATCTTGTTTATTCTTAACACTGCCTGCACCTCTGTAATAGTCCCTTTGTTAAAGTCCCTTTATTTGAACCACCTGGGGAAATTCTGTTTTGTGGTAGGACCCTGATACAGACCTGTCAAAAGGGGGTGAGAATGAATTTCACACGTTTCTTACAATCTGAGTGTAACTGTCTTCCCTTCTAAGCTGAAGTAAGCTTTTAATAATATTAAGCATGCGCTCACTGTTAATAATTATGAGTAAAAATGACAGGCTTTATTCTCTTAGGATGTGGGACACTTCCTGAATATCGCATGCTGTGGCTCTTTATGAAGAGGATTGGAGATCTTTATTACCCTATTTGACACTGCTCTTCCTAAACAATCTCATCATCTGATCAGCTCAACTTAGTTTTTTTGGGTTTTTTTTAAATATATCTTTATTGATTTCAGAGAGAGGAAAGGAGAGGGAGAGAGAGATAGAAACATCAATGATGAGAGTCATTGATCGACTGCAGCCCGCAACCCGGGCATGTGCCCTGATCGGGAATCGAACCCCAATCGCCTGGGTCCTACGTTGATGCTCAACCGCTGAGCCACGCCCGGCTGGGCTCAACTTCGTTTTAAAGCCGGAGTCTAAGGCACCAGGAATCCTGACCTAATTTCTAATATAAGAGCCACAATGAAAAGCTTACCACTAGCAGCCCCAGAGAGTTTTGCTCAATGGTTAGAGCATCGGCCTGAAGACTGAGGGGTTTCGGGTTCGATTCCGGCCAAGGGCATGTAGCCGGGTTGCAGGTTCTATGCCCAGCCCCGGTCGGGGCATGTGCAGGAGGCCAACAGTCGATGTGTCTCTCTCACATCGATGTTTCTCTCTCTCCCTTTCACTCTCTCTGAAAGGCAATGGAAAAAATATCTGCAGGTGAGGATTAAAAAAATAAAAAATAAAAAATAAAAGTAAAAGANGGGAGGCCAACAGTCGATGTGTCTCTCTCACATCAATGTTTCTCTCTCTCCCTTTCACTCTCTCTGAAAGGCAATGGAAAAAATATCTGCAGGTGAGGATTAAAAAAATAAAAAATAAAAAATAAAAGTAAAAGAAAGGTAAAATTGTTTAAAAAAAAAACAAACAACAAAAAAACTTATCAGTAGCAGACCTAAACATGAAAGATAAAGGAATAAAGTTTTTAGACGAAAACAGGAAAATACCTTCATGACCTTGGAATAAGAAACAGTCTCTTAAACAGGACACCAAAAGCTCCATGCTTTAAAAAAAAAAGGTTAAACTGAACTGTATCAAAACTAAAACCTTTTATTCACTTAGACACCAGAGTAGAATATGTATAACTAACAAAGACTCCTATAAAGAATATATAAAGATGCCCGGCTGGGCGTGGCTCAGCGGTTGAGCATCGACCTAGGATCCAGGCGATCGGGGTTCGATTCCCGGTCAAGATACATGCCCGGGTTGTAAGCTAGGCAGCTGATCAATGACTCTCTTATCATTGATGTTTCTCTCTCTCTCTCTCCTTTCCTCTCTCTGAAATCAATAAAGACATATTTTTTTTTTAAAAAAAAAGAATATATAAAGAATCCAACAAATCAGTAAACACAATAGAAAAATGGACAAATTACTTGAACAAATACTTAAAAGCCCGAGTACACAAACGGCTAATAAACATATGAAACACACTCAACTTCACTAAGTATTAGGGAAATGCAAATTAAAATGACAATGAAATACCACTACTGATCCACCAAAATGGTAAAAATGAAAAAGGAGATTATCAAATGCTGTGAGGAATGGGAACACTCAGAACTCGCATACCTGGTGGGGAGAGTGTAACTTGACATAGCACTTTGGAAAACTATTTGCTAGTATCTACTCTAATGGAATAGATGCTAGTATCTACTCTAATGGAATAATAGCCTATATGCCAGCAATTCCACTCCAAGGTATAGAACACACAGAACGCATGCATATTTCTCCTAAAGACATGCACTAGAATATTTGTAGCAGCACTATTTCAAATAGCCCGAAACTAAAAAGTATCCATCAAATGTTCATCAAGAGTAGAAAAGACAAGAAAGTACACTGACACAATGAACTACCATACAGCAATGAAAATGAACAAATTACACTGCATGCAACAACAGGTATAATTCTCACAAACAAAAAGCTGAGCTAAAGGAGTCAGATATATTCTAGGTGATGGTTTCATTTACATTAAATTCAAAACCAGGCAACCTAATCTATAAGTTAGAAGAGTGGTTACCCATGACTGGGGAGAGTGAAAGGCGACATGAGAGGGACATTTGGGGTGCTAGATGTTAATTTCTTGATCTGGGTGCTGTATTCATGGGTGCAGTCTGCTTGTGAAAATTCATCAAGCTATACATTTATGATGCATGCACTTTATGTATATGGTAATCCAATAAATTTCATAGAACTTATCAGTATCAGTAAATTACAAGGTAAAGTTTTTGCTAATTATTTATGTTGTTACTATTGGTTTTTTACACCACAGGTCCAAGAAATAATGTAATTCTCTGTTTAAGAGTTCATAAGTACTCCTCTATTTTTAAATGCTAAAAATAACTTTTATGGTTATGCAGAAACTAGACAAGTCTATGCTAAACAAAACCATTAATCCTAAACCTAAAAACAGAACCAAAAAAACGATTTTTTTAATCAATTTTAGAGAGGAAGAGGAGGGAGGGAGAAGAGATAGAGATAGAGACAGAGGGACAGAGAGAGAGAGAGAGATCAATTTGTTGTCCCACTTATTTATTCATTCACTGGTTCCTTCCTGTATATGCCCTGACCCAAGGGACAGAGCCCACAAACTTGGAGTTATCAGGGACAATAGTCTAACCAACTAGATACCCGGGCCTGATAGTTAATGAAACTAAGTCACAAAGTACTTCAAAATTAATTGTCAAATTCTGTACTGTACACTATGAGTGAAAAAATGAAAATACTGGTATATATGTAAAATTAAAGGTATACACCACTGTACTTATTCAGATATTAAAATGAAAGGCATAGGGTAAAACTAATTTTATGAAAAAGAATAAAAACCTAAGGATACTTTACATTTATCTAAAATTTATTTTTCCAAAGTATACTTTTTAAAAGCTATACTCCATTTAAAATACTGTGTTTTATTAAGAAGTTAGAAACTCAAGAGAGTTTGAAAATGGCATTACCAAAAATAAAAGAGAAAAAGGAAATAAGGAAAAATGCAGACATAAATCATATAAAATTAGAAATCCCATTAGATCACAGTAAAAGGCAGGCAAATTAACAAAGTATAACAAAACATTCATTAGAGACTGGGGGCCAGCAAAGAGTGGACTCCACAGAGGTTCAAAATGGAAAATTATAAAATTATATATATGATGAAATAAGAAGCTGAAAAAGAAAACACAAAACAACAAGAAAAACGTTCTTAACCATTTTTTCTTTTTTGAAGTACAAGAAGTTTGTATCAGTTTCCTCTTTACCACAGATGGCCAAATAAAAAATTCAGAAATAATGGGAATTTTGCTTTGGGGAAGACTGGCCGTTAGCATCTCCCATGCACAGTACTTTGGCACTAACACTCCACTCTTGTTTATCACCATGCACTCCATTTCCCATTAAGGAAATGCTAATCTGGTTATTAAGCTTAAGAGAAGCACAATCACAAATGTAAGTTTTGAAATCTCTAACGGTGAACATTAAACCATGTGTCTTATACATCATTCCACGCATCACAGCACTCCAATATTACTCCTGAATTACAACCACTGGAGTTTTATACTGCTGTGTAACAACAAGGGAGCTGATGTCCTTCTTACCAACTCAAACTCATCAAACAGCTGTATGAGGGAAGGTGGGATGAACATATGAAAGCCCTGTAGAAAAGCATTGATCTGAGGCTGAATGGCTCTTGTCATTCGAAGTTCAGTAACAAGCTGGACATACTCCTCCTTTTAAAAAAAAAAAAAAAAAGTTTTTGTGAAGACTTTTTTTTAATTCCACATACTCAATGTTGATCTAATCACTTCTCATTTAAGAGGTAAAGGTTTAGAATTAATTTGGCACCAATGTTCATACATCTCAGCAAACCAGCACTCTACCATTCACTCAACTGTTCTCTCACACCCTGTAACAGCAAGTGCTATCAAGATCTACTTCCAAAAAATATTCTCTATCTGCCCTCTCACCACCGCCACTTTTAGCACCCTGGTCCAAGTCATCATCTCTCACCTGAATCACTGCAGTGCTGGTGTCCCTGTTTCCATTTTGCCTCTACTGCTTCTCCGCACCACAGAGTGATTTTTTAAAATATATGTAATTCAGATTACATACCTTTCTTGCTCAAAACCCTACACTGACTTCCCATGACACTAAGAATAAAATCCGAATTCCTTTCCTAGCCTCTCTGCCTTGCTTTCTCATCTCATTTCCTTCCATTCCCCCCTTGCTTACTCACAATGTTCCCCAAGCACAAGCTTGTTCAGGCCTCAGTGCCTCTACTTCTTGGTGTCACTGACTGAAATGTTTCAATAGTATGTAATCTCTCTGCAAGCAGGGGTTCTGTCTGGTTTACCAGTATATATCCTCAGCTCCTAAGAACAGCGATGGCCACTTTGTAGGTGTTCAAAAATTATGTGGCAAATGCATAATTCAACAAATTCATTTAATATATACTTAGAACTTCATAAAATGGCTCAATTACGTGTAGCTGATTTGATTCTGAGTTAGGTAAGCTATTTCACACATTTTATTTTAAAATACATCATCGTCATCATAGAAAATAGTGTCACTTAAAATTTCACTGGTAACAAAATGCATTTCAGCTCAGACCAGAATGAATTCTCAGATATATGCATATCTATCTATAGATATATAGAAATATCATTATCATTTATATATTTTAAATTACGTCTAGTGAAACTTCGTGAGTTAAAAGCAGTATGTTGTATACAATTCTCACCTCCCAGAAATGAATGCTCTAAACACAAAGGGGAGAAAGCCTGTTTTAGGACTCTCCCTTCATTTTTATTTTTTTGGCACTAATCTGGATGCCCAGCCCCCACCACCACCACCACCAAAACCACTGGCACTGAGCCAGCAAGCTACATATGACTACTGGCTATGAATTCTCCGTATATCTCAGAGCTACAGAAGTGTCACAGTGAATTCCTCACAGCTCTCCCCAAACCCCACATGGCTCCTTATACAATCTGGCACAGGGAAAGCTGCCATCCCTGTCATTTAATCTATTCTACCCCTAAACCCCACTCCCTACCCACCCAAAGGCTTTTCTCCACTATATAGAAATTAATCAGTTACTACAAGTTACATACAGATGGTTACTACAGGGAGACAGAAATGTATGGCAATCAATCAAACAGAAACATAAAACTAAATTTCAGGGTCCAATCAAGAAATAATATATGATAACACACTTCTAAGTGATAACCAGCAGTGATTTCAGCATCAGCAACATGATCATCTCGATATTTATGAATGCTCTCACTAAAACTGCTTACTGAACACTACAATTTTTCTGATCCATTCTTTCATTAATTCTATGTTTAAGGTGCTATATGAGACGCTGTCTTCCCTTAACAAGAATAGCTTTTGTCCAAGAGGTTTTACTTTTACAATATTAAGGTACTATTCAATAGTCATTGCTCAAGACCTTACTAAATTATGAAGCATGTAAGTAAAAGATTTGTGAATTGCTCAAGTACATACACTTAACCTATTTTAATTTGCCATTGTGGTCCATATTTATCAGAATAGTACACATTCTCTTTTTTATCAATTAATCCCTATTATTTCCTCATACATTTGATTTTTAAAAATTAGCTTTCACAAGTATACTAATCTGTGCTCATATGTTCCCCTCTACTCCATCTAATATTGTTTTCCACATTTATTTCTGTAACTCTGGTTCATAGTTTCTAAATATCAATTTGTGAAAATCAGCTCCCTCAGATACCAGTCTCCATATTAAGTTAATTTAAATGTGAACAACAACAAAAAAGCCCTGGCTGGCTGGCTCAGTTGGTTGGAGCCTCATCCTGTACACCAAAAGATTGCAGGTTCAATCCCCAGTCAGATGCATACAGCAGGCAACCAATCAATGCTTCTCTCTCACATCTATGTTTTTCTCTCTCTAAAAAGAAACATTAATAAAAACATGCTCTCACATGATTATTAAAATAATAATAATAAAATGTGAATAGATCTTGGTCTTAATTATTTCTCAGTAAAATAATAAAATTCTAGCCATCACAAATTCTCCTAAGTGTAGTAAAATAAGAGCTTTCCAGGTAGTTGAAAGATAATTGTTTAACAGTTAAAATCTACAGAAAACAGAAAAAAAATCTAAATCCCACTGCTTCTAAAATACGTTGCTCTGCCTCCTAAAACAGCACATCCTCAAACAGAGTAACACATATTAACGTTTTCTTGATGATACAATTATTACTATGAACATCCACTATCATTAAGCACTAACATTTTGACTGTTCATACTGTGCTATAGAAACACACTGGCTGCATTCCCACTACCTATGAAGGCAGCCAAGAGACGCACCTCCACACTTTATGCCCTGCATAACTACATCAAGTATCTCATATGCCTTAAGGAAACAGTGAATGCATAGATGATAATCAGTCCACAAAACACTGGCACGGAGTTGCATGATCAGGCATTAAATATATACCAAACCTAAAATGCCACTTTCTTCTAAGGTATTAGAAGAGATGATATAATTTGGGGGGGGGAATCTTTTATCCCCAACAAATGGCATATTTACTCCCACCTGAGTTCTGCTGTTAATTCTTTGAGGGCATAAAATAATACCAGATGCCATAGATATAACTCGAAGGATTAACTATATACAAGAACCTGAGTTGGTACTTGTACTGAAATAGTTACATTAACACGTAGGAAGTTTTCAACTTAGAAAGCTTCAGCATGGAGATAAGATCAACAACAAAAAGCCCTAGCAACTTTTTTCTAGCTCAACCTCTGAGCCTGATAACTGATACAACATGGGTAATAAAAAAATAACTGCAAAAGGAAAAATAACACTAAGATTAAGGATACACAACTTCCGACGCTATGTTCCAGCGAGATTACAGGACTAGTTACAGAAACATTTTGTTTTAATAACCTCCTAGTCTTCTGCATGTGTGGAACAAATAACATCGCCCCTCAGAAATGTGCCTGAACATTCCAACTTCCTTTCAGGCTTTGGACCTAAATTATGTCTCTTATGAGGGGGGGGTGGTGATGTTAAAACTTGAAACATTTTTTAAGCTATTTTCTTCTTGAAAATATTTTTCATTATTTCTAGAAAAATATCTAAATAAACCATATTTATATAAATAATAATCAACTTTTAATAGTGAAAACAAAATGTTCCTTTTCCCTCCTCTAAGTAGACTGATAAACTTGGTCATATTTGTAAAACTGTCTAAAATAGTAATTTTTTTTTAGTAATTACCAGTTTCAGTGGCATTATTATTGGCACAATTCAATTAACTGTTTGAATATCAATCCCTTGGTAATAAAGCTTCCTTCCTGGGTTGATCACTTGATTACTATTGCTCTGGAATGTAAGAGTTCTCACTGAAAATTTCTCCACCTAGAACTCAAAAGAATACCAGGTTTCTTTTGTAGGAATAAGCAGATACAAGAAAAAGGAGAGGCGTGTTCTTTCAATGTAATATTTTTCAATAATTTTTTTCTTTACAGGTATATTCTATTTTTAAGGTCCTACATTAGTTACAAAGATTGATAGTCTAGTAAAAGTCCTATTACTTCAGTTTCCTTGAAAAAAAATTTAGTCCTTGAAAATTGTGATTCTTTAGGTTACCATTTCATCGAGTTGGTGAAATTTTAGAATATACTTACTAAAATGCAAGGGAAAGTATGTTCTCCTTGTACACAGGAAGATATTAAAGATAATTTTAAATCCAATCTAATAATACACACACTCAATATGAAGAACCTCTAACCTGAAGTGTTTTAAAAGTTTTGAGTAATAAAATGATTTCTCATAGTATACCTTTCTAAAGATAAAAATGAATCCACTTTAAGTCAATAATCAATATACACAAACCTGTTTTTGTGCTTATATGTGTATTAAATGTGTGTGTGTGTGAAATACATCAAGTGAAACTAGCAATAAAATACAAGGAATTAACCATATAAAAATAAAGTGGAGGAAAACATGCTAAATTTGTATTTGCAACTTTGTTCATATTCGCTGACTTAGTAAAGAGAAGCCTAGCAGTTACACAATCACAGAGACCTTGATTTAAACTGAGGGTTCACCACTTACTAATTTTGGGCCCTCAGACAGTTTAAACTTCTAAAGAAATATATACTGTCATAGTTACAAGCTCAGGCTTGATGGGTTCAAATCCTCGCTCTAACACTCACTAACCATGTGATCTGGAGGAAAGCTACTCAAGCCCTTTATCCTTGTTTCCTGACCTGTAGAAAGGATGTCTACACTTCACAGGACTGTTTACGTTAATACACGTAAAGTACTTTGAACACTGCCGAACACATTATAAGCACCCAATAAATGTCAGGTTCTTTTAATATTAAAGTTGTTTCCACGTTCAACGAATAGAAGGAACTATCTCAAAAGGCTGTTGTAGTAAATGAGAAATGCACAAAGAACGTATCTCAAATACATGAAATACTACAAAGTACTCGACAGGCAGTAGCTATCATCATCACCAGAAAACAGACCTGATGGTAATGAGCGTGACGAAGAGAAGGACTCTGGGGTCCAGTCCACACCACACGGCAATCATCTCTGAATGGCTGTTTCCACCTTCTCAAACAGTCACCTAGCTCTGTAAATTCTACATCCTTGAAGCTATCTCATTTTCTCCATCCTCACAATCCTCGAGGCATGCATGCTCCACAGAACAATGCCCCAACAACTATCAGCTGACCTGACTCCAGTATTGCCCCATTTCAATCCATTCCTCACACTCCAAGCTGAGTTTATACTTTCCTTAAAAAACAGAAATTCAATCATGTCACTCCCCTCTATAGCATCTTCAATCATCTCCACAGTTCAGAATAATTTCCAAATTTCTAATTGTGAGTTAAAGTCTTTCAGAATTTGGCCCCTTTCTACCTCCCTCAACTCATCTTTTTCCACTCAATTACTTTGCAATCTAAGCTAAGATCTACAACTCTCATCTATCTATCTGTAGTTCCCCAAACACATGCTCAGTCAACTCTGTGCCTTCTTATAAGCCCAGAACACTTCCTTCTCCCCTTCCTTACTTCTATCTGACCACTTAAAGCTTCTCCTCTATAATTCAACTTCATGCCTCCTCCATTCCCTGATATCCTGTCCCATCCCACACCAGCGTTTTCCCCTCCCAGCCAGAATGAACTTGAGGATTAGTATTGTAAAAGTGTTCTTAACATTTAACACCCAAGTAGCTTACTTTCAGTTCTAACAGCTAGGTCAATTTAAGCTAAACGAATGTTTCTAAAGATTTTTAACATTTAAAAATTAATCAGGTTGTTTACTGAATAAGCATTAAGTGTTTAAGCACTGACAATTAGATATAAAATTATCCTTGACTCTTCCTCATAATATTCAGTTCTAATAGCTAGAACTGAAGATTTAGGCCAAAAATGTCCTTTTAACTCCAGATTTCATGGTTCTACAATTTCAGCTTTTCATCAAGAATTTAAAAGTAAAAGCAAAACTAAAATGAAAATATTATTTTAATGTAAATATTCAGCTCCTGGTAATTCAGCCATTTTCAAAAATGAAACCAAGGTTGCTTGTTTTTCTCTCTAGATTTTAAAACAAATCACTGACAGATACAAAATTAAATTTAAAAGAGCATTATAGTGCAAATGTGGAATGGATATATATTTTTCTGCCATACATTTGTTGTATTTTTTAATTTCCTGCATTTTAAACAAAGGTATTTTCATCTATTTGGTTTCACTCAATAATTACCAAAGGCTTTCAGTAAAACTTAGGAATAAATGACTCCCCCATGTGGAGATCAGCTTACACAGATTTTCTCTTACTAACAAGATTGGCAAGTCATTTAAGTTTCAATATGCTTATAAATTTTGAAGTTGAACTCCAAAAGTGACAATTACAACTTATACCTATAAAGGTAAGGAGATAAAAGGCTGATCCTGAAATAACAAAAAAGTTCATGACAGAAATGTATGTTGAAGAATAATACCTCTAAAGAACATGGTTTGAAAATTTTTGTAAATTGAATACTTTAATAATTTTAAAGTAAGTGATCAATTTAAGCTATAGGTACATTTCTAAATATTTATAATATTTAAAAATTAATCAGGTTTACTGAATAAGCATTAAATGTTTAAGCATTAACAATTAGATATAAAATTACACTTGACTTTTACTGGTCATATTAGAAAATGAAGAGGCTCAATTTATTGTGAGAAATGTTTATAACTAAAAAATGAAAGCTGAGAATTTTCATATTAATGATTGAGGTACTGCTTTTACATTACCAAAACTAATTATTGAAAAAGGTTAGCCTGACCACCAACAAATCAACAAACTACAAGTGCTGGCGAGGGTGTGGAGAAAAGGGCACCCTAGTACACTGCTGGTGGGAATGCAGACTGGTGCAGCCACTGTGGAAAGCAATATGGAGTTTCCTCAAAAGATTAAAAATTGACCTGCCATTTGACCCAGTGATCCCACTTCTAGGAATATATCCTAAGGAACCCAAAACCTCAATCACAAAGAACTTATGCCCCTCTGTGTTCATAGCAGTGCAATTTACAATAGCTAAGATGTGGAAACAGCCCAAGTGCCCATCAGTAGATGAGTGGATAAAAAAGCTGTGGTACATTTACACCATGAAATACTATGCAGATGTAAACAGGAAGGACCTTTATCCTTTGGCACAGCATGGAGGGAACTAGAAAGTATTATGCTAAGTGAAATAAGCCAGTCAGAGAAAGAAAAGTACCACATGATCTCACTTATATGTGGAATATAATAAAATAAACTGATGAACAAAGTGTATCCAGAGACACAGAAGCATGGAACA